GCAGGTCATCGGAACGGCATAGCAGGTCACATACATGTTAAGATCATCACTTGCACAACATCACACACTGGAAACTGCTCAGATGATGATCCAAAGGTTTTAACAAGCAAATGTTCAGTTCGAATCTTCTGCAATTGTAGGGCTCCATTTAATTTTCGGTTGATGTAGCTCCTCTGACTCCCCAGGTCTGACTCTCCCTGGCCGGTTGGTTCTTCTTTAAACAGAGAAAGCAGCGACCGTTGTTTGGTAGAATTCCCTTTCGCACCCTGATGTCAGTGACAATACTGCAGCTTGCAGTTGAATGCGGACCTTTACGGAAGGTATAAGTTGTGGCATTCTGGGAGGACATCATTGCTTCAGCAGTTGGTGGGACTGGTTTCTTGTTTGCTTGATACGGCTTTTTTGCATTAACAGGTTCCTGTGACGTTATGCCAATAGCAAGACATTGTTCTCTCGCCTCAAGTTCCCCACAAAATGCTTCCAGTAGTCAGGGAGCAGAGACCGAAAAATGCGTGTTTCGTTCAACCATCGCCACAGAAAAAGTCTGACACTTAATTCTGGTAGAGAATGACCTCACGTTTAATGCTAGATAGTTCGTAGAGTTTAAATGTGGTATACTTTTCGAATTACAGGGTGCAAAACGTCACAGGGCGTCACTTCCGGTACATTTCTCTGGCACCGGTCACAACGCTTTATCTAAGGAGAAAACTACTAGTGAAAACAAAACAAACAAACAAAGAAAACAACTGAAAATGTAGTTATGATAAATGGACGCTCCAGTGATGGTCACAAGAAGAGATGTTGTGCTTGGCACACACAAGAAAGTATGTCTGATGTAGCGGGCGTGATGTAAATGGATGTTCAAGGCCACACTTGTGTCAACTGACAGAACATCTGTCATCTTGACCCTTCAGAAATATAACTTCTGATCTTTGGCTTCACATAAAATAATAACAAACGTGAGCTATAAGAAGGACTCCAGTTTACAATGCCCTTTGACTACCTACCAAAAGGTGCAATTATGCCTCACCCTTTCAAAGAACTCTGAAAACAGAGGAAATTTAGCGTATGTTTCCGATTATCAACGCAGGCATTTTATAAACAACGATCAAGAGGGTGCATTGGCAAATAAATAAAATTTGTAACTAACCATTTCCATGGTGTCCTTGTCGTTGTCAGGCCAGTAAAACCACATCTTGATTTTCCTAAGAGTGTTATCACGGCCGGCATGTCCAGAAAAGGAGCAGAGTGTCACTCTTCGAAGACCCTCGCTTTTCTCTTCCTCGGTGATAACAAGTCGTCAATTATCTCAGGAATATGGAACTGGTTGCCGAGTTACATCAGGCAGCAAATTACATATCTTTCCTTTAGTCCAGCCCACCGCGAATCCTTCCAAACACGACACCACTTTTACTCGATCCCAAAACCTCCAAACTCCAGTAGTCACCTTTCTCTTATATCTTTCACAGACTTGCTTCGCCTTCGGTCTCCTGGTCTGCCGCTGCTTTCTAGTTCAGTTTGGTTTTCCGCAACCGTTCTTGGAGAGATGTTATGTAACACACTGACTTCTTGGAGAGATGTTACGGTCTCCACAATACTTCCCCTGCTCTCTCAACTTTTACAGCACATCAAACTGCTTTCCCCCGACAAAATGACTTCTTTTGCTTTCAAGTTAAAAGGGACACCTCTGCTGAAGGGATTTCAGTAGAACGGCTTGTGCTTCAAGGTCTCTCTCTTACAGTCTTTCTGAACGCATCCTCCACACTGACTTTTTAGCAACGCGGCTGCTTCTTAATATCTAAAACTTCCAAATCCCATGCAAATGCAAGGTGTGGCAAAAAGGGACTATTGTAAAAGGTCCGATCTAGTAATTAACGGCAGACAATGAATATTTTACCCAGTTAGTTTTATAACGAACAATAAGGTACCAACTGCAACAATAATAGTTACGCAATAGAGTGAGACAATAAAAGAAGATACAATTTTTGGGTGGAGTAAATATATTGAAAGCATGATTAATGTAGATTGAACACTAAATATAACCCTGCCTAGATATATACGGGGACAATTTATGATCAGAACTACAGAGAACTGGTGCTGGAGGAGAAATGGAATTTGATAAAATTGTACATTATGTGGAAAGTCCTCAACTGGCATCGAAGTTAAAAAAAGAGGACCAGAGAATTCAACAGCGGTAGTAAGTAAGTAATTAAACTAAGGCTTGAAAATAACAAACATTATCGAAAAAATCCTATATTAAATGCTTACTAACAAAATCTCAATGTACAATAGCGGAATAAAAACAATTTAAAGTAGTGGCCTGCGTAGCCTCAGGTTATGTTGCGCACCTCGAAGATTATGCCTGTGAATGATACTAATGCTGGCGAATTTATCAGCCAGGTATTCGGGTACAAGGTTATTTACAGTTTTAAACATTAAAGGTTTCAGTTGCTTAGCACGTCTGTCAGCAAAGCTATCCCATTTAAGGGCATGAAGAATCGGGGCAGAGCTGGCATCCCAGCTAGACCCTGTAATTATGTATGCAGCCCTGTTTTGTAGTTTCTCTAGTTTTTGGCTGAGGCCATTACCGATACAGCCCCAGACAGCGCTGCAATAATCGAGATGCGGAAGAATCAATGACTTATAAATAGTGACAAGGGTACTCTGGGGACATATTGGTGTTAGCCTCCTTAGGGCAGCTAGTGCTTTTGCAACTTTACTGATGACTTCGGAGATGCGAGCCTCCCACAAGAGTGTTTCATCAACCTGAACGACTAGGCATTTGTAACTATTGACTCTTTCATTTGAATGCCCGCTGGGGGATATGTGTGGATCGCTAGGGAGCAAAGAGATTTTTTGCCTCGTGCCTGTAAACAGACATTTAGCCTTGAGGACATTAACACTTAGACGGTTAGAATCGAGCCATTGCTTCAGATTGCCCAAATCATGAGTCAGGGATGAAAACAACTCATTATAGAGTTTTAGATCCGAATTTACCGCGAACCTCTAACCGCTGGAGATCACGTGACAAGTCTTTCGCGTCACGTTTGAGGTTTACAACGTGCGTTTTCAACGTGGGGAGGTAGGTTTTCACGTATGTCATTTACCTGAAAGCTTTTAGCGGATAATTCTTGTTTTATCCCACGTAATGATACAAAAATCTTGTTGAGCAAGTCTTTATCCATTAACAGAGGCACAAATTCGGGCGAAATGCTAAATTTGATAAATTCTGTTGGATCTTGAAAACAAGTGCCATTCACTGCTGCTGATTCAAAATGGCGGCCTTCTTTAATTCACCGCCAATCTAAATCGAATTATGTTTGAACGTCGAACCGCAAACGGGTAACCGCAAACCGCGGTTAGAGGTTCGCGGTAAACTCGGATCTAAAACTCTCTATTAGGGTCTTTGGAGGCAAACGTGAGATTAGTGTCATCGGCGTACATTGTCACATCGAATAGGTTACAGTTAGGGAGATCATTAGTATATAATAGAAATAGTAGGGGGCCAAGGATTGAACCTTGACGCACCCCACAACTTATGAAGCTAGTTTCGGAATTTACGTTGTTTATAACTGTAACCTGAGTTCTATCTGAGAGGTAGTCTCAGAAAAGATTGAGACTAACACCTTTAAACCCATACAGCTCCAATTTTGATAGAAGGATCTCATGGTCAATATTATCAAAAGCATTTTTTAAGTCAGTAAACAGAATGGCATTTGTCAAACCATCGTCGATGTTGAGATACGAGTTGTCTGTGATGTCAGTAAGAGCTGTAAGGGTAGAGTGCATAGGTCTAAAGCCAGATTGATATTTCGAAAGTAACTTATCATTTTAATATGAATAAACCTGATTAAAGATGGTTTTTTCAAAGAGTTTGGCAATCACAGAAAGTACAGAAATTGGCCTGTAATTGGCTGGATCAACTTTCGAGTCAGCTCTGAAAATTGGAGTTACTCTAGGATTCTTCCAGTCTTTGGGAATGATTCCCTTAGAAATAACTAAATTAAAAATATGTGTAAGGGAAGACGCAATGGATGGAAATGAAAGCTTTAAGAGGCAAGTTGGAATACCATCAAGACCATCACCTTGCCCACAGGAATATCATTCACAAGTTTGCGCAGTCCATCAATAGTCAGTAATTCGAGCTCGAAGGTGCCATCACACGGTTCTACAAAATCACGAAAACTGACTTGAGGGGGATTTATGTTCGCCGCTAAGTTGGGGCCAAAATCAACAAAATGCCTGTTTAAAGCATTGCTTCGCTCATGAGAATCAGTTATCACCGTGTCACCAATAATCAATTTTGACACTGGAGCAAAGTTTTCCTTTCGCGATAATAATAATTCTATTCCAAGTCGCTTTAGCTTTCCCAATGTTATCCTCGAAGAACGAATGATAGTAATTCCTTTTTGGAGGCCTTAATGGAATGGTTAACACGATTCCCAAGTCTCCTGTACTCTGCCCATTTCAACTGATCACTGGTGAGAATTGCGATATACTTTATTGTCTCTTTCCCCCATCAATCGTTTGATCTCGGGTGAGCCAGGAAGCATTAGAGTTTCTAACTCTCCCATTCTTAACAGGTGCATGAAGGTTAGCTACTGCTAGAAATGATTGTTTCCACACCTCCCATGCGCCAGTAGGGTTATCAATCTGCTCAATTGTGTCCCACGGAACCAGCGCCATGTCATTCACAAAGTCATCAGACACAAAATTTTTATATTGTCTCGATTCAATGATTCACCGGATCGACCTAGGGCATGTTAATTTACGAGAGACATAGACCAAACTATGATCGCTGTAACCAATAGGAGATACACCAGATGTAGCAAATTTGACCGGCTCATTGGTAAGAAATAAGTCGATAAGTGATTTAGTACTTGAAGTGACGCGTGTAGGCTCCTTGATCAATTGAGTATATTGAAACTATTCACAGAGTTCAATTGTGTGTCTAGTTTCATTAGCAGGGGTAACTGCCATCATGTCACAGTTGATGTCACCTAGTATATTTGATTCAACATTTTCAGCTTCAATCTTTGGCCGAAGGACCTCGAACTTATCAAAGAGCTCAATTGGAGAATTCGGAGGTCTATACCAGTTTGAAATAAGAAATGGCCTGGCTCTGGGTTTTTGGATTTCAATACACAAGAGCTCAAGAGGTCGGATCTGATTTTGAAGTCAATGACGTTGCAAATGTATATGGCAACACCACCACCACCTCTGCACCGGTCACGCCTAATAAGTGTATAACCATCTATTGACACTGCAGAATCAGTGAAGGTGTTATCAAGACGAGTCTCACTTGAGGCTAGCAAGTCTAATGTCTGAGATTGCATTCTTAAGCGAAGCTTGTCCAGGTATTTAGGCAAACTAATGATGTTGAGAAATGCAATTTTGAAGCCCTTACGTTTGGGTAGACTGAAAGTTAGGTCTGATTCAGATATACGTTCATGGTTAGAATTTTCATTAGACCGGGACGTGGTAGGGATAGCAGGCTCATTACCGAATAGTCAATTAGAGTTAAAAGCACATGTTTATTTCCAAATATATATCATGATTAGTCTCATTTTTGTGGAAAAGATAAGCGGAAATGCACTAGATTATTGAATACAATTTTAGAATAAAATAATTAAAAAAATAAGTGTAATAGGAAAAATAAGTGTAACTTCATTTATCTCCAGGCCATTTTGCTGTGAATAGGTCTGACATCGTGACCTTGTAGACCTGAAATTCAAAAAAAGTGCAATGTTAGTTTGGTGTGGGAATTCGAAACCTTTTTATATGAATAATGATATGTCCATCAAAAAACCCTGAAGAGAGATATAAGGAGGCACGAGATAATGTGACTACTTTTTTTTCAATGCCTGAAACTGAAAAATCAAAATGGGAAGCTTTTTTTTATACAACCTGCTTTTGAGAAGCAAAGATGTAACAGTAGAGTTTACAGATGGAAGGTATGGGGTGGGCCAGGTACTAACATTTATTTCATAACATAATAATTCTTACCGCAGGAGTTTCAGGATTTGGGTAATCCCTCAGCTCTTCAGACAGTTTTTCCCTAATGATGTTTTTGAGACATTCAGGGTACACATAAGTGGGTAGGGACTTTCCCCTGAACTGGCCCTCTCCAACTTTGTTACCAAACTATAAAAAACAAAGAAACAATATTATGACCCTGTAAAGGCTATGCAATGGATAAGAATGTAGTTTATTGTATGGATTATTGTGCAAGTGGGTCACATTCAGAGGCGGATCTGGGGGAAGTGTGCAGGGGATTTCCAAATCAAGCAAATGGTGTTTGGAGCGCGGTAGGGCGTCTTATTTTTCCCGGCAAATTGGCCTTAGAAACAAAACTTTGCTCGCGTATATCTCGGTATAGTTTGGGTATCTCAACGTGAAATTTTGCATGCCAGTTCCTGATGACATTGCCTTTACGCTGCTAAAAAAGTATGGCAATCCGAAACAGTCACTTTAGCCTCCAGGAATACCTTAAGATAATCCGCATGACAATTTAAAAGAAGTGAAGACCCTTTGCTGTTTAGGTGAACACCCCTACGATTTAAACAAGTGAGGTCTATATTATTAATGCGGAGCAATGTAAGCCCACGAGAGCTACAAAACGACTTAAAGATATTATTGGCCTCCCTGATTTTGTCGTTAAAATCTAAGTTATCTGACCTGGGTAGCAGAGGTGAAATAGCAAGGTGTGTAGTCGGGGAATCGTGTTGGATCTGAGATACCAGGTTGACAATGCCCTCAGCCACGCTACGTGGGCTTTCGTTTCGTATGTTATTAGTTCCCACATGGAGGATGATTTCATCCGGTTTCTTTCTAAAAAGAGTCCTTAAATAATCATCCATATCTGCCAATCGAGCACCCGAGAAGGACTTGACGGCAACATGCTTATCATTTGTTGATAGATCCCAACCCTGGACGTGTTGAATAATGGAATCCCCAGCTATGAAGACAAGCTTCTTTTAGGCCATATGATCTGTTGATGGAGTTCCACCAGAGACCGAAAAAGAAGGATTCTGAGTTTGCTGAGCCGCAATCGGAGTTTCCCGATTTTGGTGGCTAGATCGGTTTTGCTCAATAGGTGGCCGATGTGGTTCAGCTGGGTTTGTGGTCGCTGTAAGCTTTGCCTTTTTGCTGCGTTGTCTTTTGGTCCTCTGTTTAGACTTCGCGTTGTTTTCAGGTACCCAGGGGGAATCCTTGTCATGCATTGGTGACACACCGTTCCTACATTCAGATATTTGCTCATGCAAATTAGTAGAAGTAACAGGAACACACTTTCCTTCATTGGGGTTTTGAAGTTCGTTGCTCATGAGTCGGATGGCTGTTAAAAGACTCCTGTTCTCTTCACGCAGTGAATTAGCTTCCTGTTTCAAAATGGTGTGGTGGGACTCCAACTCCTGCAATTTGTCTTGAAGATCTTTGTTCTCATTCTGCAGTGATATGACCAGCTCATTTGCATAAGTCATATATAGCAGTCAGCTATACCAAAGTAATGTGGAGTCCTGCAGGTGCATTCATCTGTACAGAATGAAACATTTGGGCATGGCAAAAGCAACTTGATCCCACATCCTCCACAAAAACAGAGTAACTATTTCCCCGATAAATATTTAAATAGCTTTTGCTATTAACAATATCTCTGTTCATTTGAATCTGTTGAAATAAGAAAGCTTTGGAGATACAGCCTGTCTTGTGTTCAGCAAAAACTGGTGACATACCACCAAGTGCAAATACATTGTCAGTTATTTCCTCATGTTTGCATTTTGAAATGTACCTTCCACAGGTCATGTGCTCATAAAATTATTCACTAGCTGAACCTGTTAGCAGCAGATGTACAAGTTCAGGAAGCTTCTCCTGTACACAGACAGAAAATGCAACCTGTGATTCCATCTTTTGTGTTCCATGAAATAAGATTCTTAATTCACCATTGTAGTCCTCAAACCAAAAGCAAGAGGAGGCCCAGAAAGGAGCAATGTTATTCACACAATCATGGAGATGAAGAAGGCAGTGAACATTAAATGTGTTATATTGGCTTCCATACAAGGCCTCAATTCATAGACAAAACTGCCGCAAAAGGTTACCTGCCTCCCTTACGCAGTGAGGTGAGACTGAACTCTGATCTAATAACCAGATTGCTTCCACGAGCAAAGTGAAATGCTGAAAGTATTCATCAGGCAAAATGTTCCACAAACAGGGAATACCATAAAAAAAAACTCTGAAGCTTTCCAATGAGGATGATCCTTTGCAATACTTCTTGGTGCCCGAGAAATGCAATTAGGTAGAGTTATATTTAGCAAGCGACTGTCAACATTTTCTACGTGTTTACTTACGTTCCAGTCTTCAGATGCATGTGTCTTGTCAAACCACAATGTCATAAGCATTTTTGTGACTCCCAGAAGAACAAAGTGCATGCAATCCACTGCAATTCCTTTAATAATATCAAATCCAGGAATAAACATAAACCACGAATATCCTTTGACTCCACAGACAGGTGCATAGTTTCCCTCAAGTTTTGTTCTGTGCTAGATACGCATAATCAAGAGTGTTCTCTGGGTAGTCTGCTCCATAACCTGTTGACCGGTTTTCTCTGTGAAATGGATATGCATGGGTGTGTCCTCTTGCACTTGTCTTTACACTGGTTAGCTGGTACTACGAGCGGTCTGATCGTTAATACTCTTGAATGAAACTAAGATTTATTAATAGTAGATACTTATCTTACTTGTAATATCAGTGTCCGAGTTTTTAATCACACGGGAACTCTCATCCTTACTTAGATAAATGGTGGAGTTTTTAGCCCAACAAAAATTGATGGTGGAACTCCAAACAGGTTTCCAGTTCTGAAATAAAAGATAAAAAGATTGCTGCTGAAAAATAGTGAAGTTTTTAGCTCTTTGGGGTCTGTAAATCTTGCACTATAGCTTTTTCTTATTGCTGAGGTTGTTGTAGGAGCAAGGAGCAAGGAGAACAAGGAGTGAGTGGGTGATATGCAGAACAGGTTTTGAGTACAGTGAAAAATAAACAAAAGTCTCATTTTGGTTGTAAAGTGCAGTCAAAGGTGACATGATATGTATAACAAGAATGATTATTGTTATAATAATAATTATTATTATCATTAACATCACTATGAGAAGCAAACCCAGAGTGACTATGGTTATAAAATCATTGTCAGCAACTCCTAATGACAGGTTTTCAAACAGCATAGTTAACAGTTATTCTTCGAGGACGCGCCGGATATGAGCTGATATATATAACCAACGAGGCCGTAGGCCGAGTTGGTTATTATCAGCTCATCTCCGGC